ATAAGCATTGAACAAGAGGCTACCAATAAGCACAAGACACATGCAAATATAAATACAGGGTATCCTAAAGTCTTAGTGAAGTTCTGAGCCTTAATAAAGGCAGAACTATAAATGCTACAAACTTACAAAAACATCATTTGAAATATTAAGTACTTATATTGTTGCCATACTTGTTTTTTAAGTTTGAAGAACATATTTTAAATGTTAAGTTTTTGTTTCAGTCACCCTGCAGATGAGAATTTTTGATTAAATAAAAATTTGTTTTTCAAGATTCAGAATTCTAAATAAGCACAAAAGAAACGGAAATAAGTTTTCAAATGATGCCTCTCTTACATCTGTAAGCATTTATACTGTATCTGGAGTTACTGAAGCCTTAAAAGCTCCCTAAGATTTTTGGATGCCATGTTATTAATTCATTCTTTTTCCTTTTACATGTCCTTTTTCTCCAGTATGATTGTATAATTTTTGTTTTCATGGTAGGAAAATGTTTATTTTTCAGTTTTGAATGTAGCACATCTCAGCAGATAGGTTTCATAGTTGCCAATTAAAAGACGTTGTTCAGCAACTGCCATGAATAATAAACTAATCTTTGTCTCTTCCTATAACACATCAAAGTATATTTCTATTGGAATTCTTCTAACATACTCATCACCAAACTGTAACCCTGGGACTTCACTGAATTTGTTTACATTTCATCTGTTACTATCACAGAGGGCCCAGCTTAAACTCTAGGTAAGGAAAGAAAATGTGAGTTTTCTTAAAGAATATTGCAAAACAGAAATCAAAGGCACAACTTTACTCCTCAATCTGGCAATCTAACTTAGTTTACAATTAAAGAATGATTTTAATTGTCAAACTTTTAAATTTTATTAAATGTTTGTGGCAATGCATCAAATGAATTCCAGACCTATATAAATACACAGGCAGCTGTTTGTAATTTGCATTTTTATCAGTTTTGAAAGAGCACAGTGTACTTCCTGCATCTTATTTTCAGAATTTGCATTTTATCATCTTTGGCTACCCAGTATATAGTATGGAGTACTTGAATATCTCATTCTTTGAATTTTCATTTTTGAATTGTAAATCAGATGATGTCTGGCACTTTTCTCTTTTCTCATTTTTCTCTTCTCTCAACCTCCAGGTTTACTTGCTTCCATTTCTTCTTGGCTCTAATAATAAAATACAAAAATATTTCAGTTATTTTCTTTTTCAGCATTCTTTGGGGTACCACCATATTGCATGTCTTTTGCTAATTACTTACCATAAATCTAAAGACAAAACAAAAACTAAGCTTATTGTTCTAATTCATAAATTTTCAGAACACCATTCAAATTAATTCCACTTCTTTCTGAAGCTTGCCGTGTTTTGAATTTCAGTGGAGGGATGGAAGGGAATGGAAATAATACTGTATGTAAGGCTGCACATGGGGGACCCAGAGTGAACAGAATGAATGTTCCCTCCTTTGGAGACAGGCACCTCTAGTCACACCAGCTATACCCCTATCAGAAAGGATGGTGGCCTCAGAGAGGGGTGACAACAACATCTCTAATTGCTTTAAGCTCCTTTCGTCTATTCCCAAGACACATTTTCCCTCCCCTATTGCCTTAGCATCATAGCATCCAAAAACATTTTCCCAAAGGGCTCCTCTTGCCCATTTATACTTCTATGGCCTTGGCTCCCAGATATTCCTTAGAGGAACAGACTAGTCGCAACTAGTGTTTTCTGCTCCCTCTCTCCAGCAGGCCATCTGTCCACTGGGAAATGCTGAAATCTCTCCCCTGTGTCCTAGCAGGAAGTGCATGGGAGGAAACACAAGCTAACTTCTATCTTCTGGTGATGACAACAATATTTAGAAAGGATGAGAGTTTAGGAGTTGCAGATTTCCCAGCCAAGAGCTCAGGTAAATAAGAAAACTAATTTTATTTGGTTATAATTTATTTAATTTCTTGATTCTAAGATTCCACCCTGCCTGATGTAGAAAATTTCTCTAGTCCTTTGCATATAAACTTAGTCCAGTTCAGTGATTTTTTTTTTTTTTAGTCACTTCATATGTATTTTTCAATTACATTCAGATACGAAATTCTTTCTTAGGGTTTCTCTCCCTCCCCCACCTTCTTGCTGTTTATCAGTATTTCTAGGGTTGGGACTGGGGAGAACAGTTGCTACTGTGTGACAACCAGGAAAAGAATGTCATCTCAACAATCTTGGGTTCAACAAGGTCTAGGTCATGTGCTGGTGAATGGTGGCCCAGATAACATATATTGTCTAAGGTTTCTCAAACTTTAATTAGTGTATCCAAATCACCTGGAAATCTTATCAAAATGCAGATAATGATTCAACAGGTCGAGATGGAGATTACACGTTTCTAACAAGCTCCCAGGTGATGTCATTGCTGGTGGCCCTCAGACCATACTTCAAGTACAGTTCGATCAGTGGAGGATGGCTTTGGTTTCTAATCGACTCCCTGGCAGAGCAATCTATTGCAATTCCAGTTGAGTCCTCCCCTGGAGTAGGGCCTAACCACAAAGGCATCTTTCTGATGCTGTCCCTTCTGTTCCAGCCAGGAGACTTTGTGTAGACCTGCTGGTCCTCTCTCTTAGCAATTCACTCTCACTTGAAACTCACGGGAATATGTGATGCCGTCCCAAGCAACCCTGGAGCTTGGTAATCTCAAGATGCTCTGTCTCCAGTTTGATTGCATTAGATGTGGCTTGCCCTCCCCGCAACCTCACCACCAGATGGCATTGAGAAAGTTTCTCCAAAGATTTCCCCTCTAGGTTGCAACTGGAAAGTGCAATGCAGATCCTCCTTATGTTCAGATTCATATAAAATTCGAGAGGAACTCTATCATTGACCTTTCTGCCCTGGGCCCTGACATAGCTGGAGGTGGTGGAAGAGGAGGCAGGGACTAGTACTGAGTAAGCGCTCCACACACTGTTTCTGGTCTCTTGCTGTCTCTCTACAGGCTCCTCTGTATTTTCCAGAGTAAAAGCAAAAAGCAGTTTTGTCAGCTCACATCCTCCGTCACATCCTCTTTTCCCTGCCATACATGGATGGTACATGTTTCATGCCCTAAAGTCACCACTCCTTCCCCCAAATCCTTCAGTAAATCATGTTTAACTATATGAGTGGGATGGAACGGGAGAAGGTTGCTGGGATACAAAGGCAGTCACTGGGACAGGGGCAGAGGTCAGGAGCACATCCTTTAATCCTCCAAATAGCAACACACCTCCTAGGAGACCATGGGCTTTACAGTTTGTAGTTTTATCTTGGATTTTCATCGACTTTTCACCTCCTTCCCCCTACCCCAGATTAAGTCCAACCTGAGGTCAGGTCTGCTACAAACCTATATCCTGGGAAGGTTCCAAGAATTCCCACGCCCTCCCAGAGCACAGAGCACAAGAGGGAGACCACAGCCCCTCTCAAACTTCCATCACGGAAACTTCATCCTAGGTGCCCTATCAGCCCGCTCCAGCCTGCACCGTTTCTGTCCGTGGTGGAAACAGTGGGGCTTTAATATTTTGTGTCAAAATATGGTTTTATATATTGCTTTATGGTTCAACAGAGAATGCATCTTAACATACGTAATTGCTGCAAATGCTTATGCTTGTGTCTAAGGAGAGAAATATATCAAGAGATTTCTGATAACACATAAGAATAGGCAAACACAATAAAACAAAGTAAAATGAAATTGCTGATAGACCAGATATCTACTAAACTCCAAGAAACTATGTTCATATAGATCACGAAGACTTTATAGGTTTTCTAAAATATGTTCCTTGAGCTTAAAAACTTGTCATTTTCAGAATCGTATGCTACATTAAAATCACTAGTATTTACCTGTATATATCTTTTCAGTTTTTGAGTATGTTTTTGAAAAAGGAATTCTTTTCCTCCAGGCTGAACCATTATATGATGTTGACATATATTTATCTGAGAGAAAAAGGAAACAAATGAAATATTTCATAATGCTAAAATCATATTCCGGGAGTATTTCAGAGTTACAAACATCTCAGAGGTGAAGCTATTCTCTAATTCATTTTACCGTTTCAAGGCTAAGGCATCAGGGACACAACTGAGCTTATTAAAACCATTTGAGTTATCAACGAACATGGTTACACATCTCTTAATTGGCTGCTCAGTTCCTCAGATAAGGCCTGTCCCATGAGGCTAAGCTAGAGAAGAGTGTGATATGTGTATGTGACCAAAGTATTTCACTGCCAGGCTTTACCATGATTCCATACACAATTCTGCTAGTATTTACAGAGCTTTAGAAAGGAAGTAAAAAATAAATGGGGGGAGGAAATAGCTCAACAGTAGAGCAGATGCTTAGCACGCACAGGGTCCTAGGTTCGACTGCCAGTAACTCTATTAAAAAGAGAGAAAGAGAACGGAAGAAAGACCTAGGAGGTACAGCCCACTTCCCTCTTTCCTTCCAACTCCCAAGATGGAAGTGTTTGCTCTACCACAGTAAAACTTACTGTCCCACGAAACCAAAGTATTTGTACGCTGGTTTCAACCTTTAATTATCTACTTTCCTCTGACAATTCCGTATTTGAACTACTATCTAAGAATGATGTATTTGTGTTTTGAAGTGTTGTGTGTTGTGTTTTGAATCACACTATGCAGCTGTGATTCTCAAAGCATGGTCCATAATAATGCTAAGAATTTATTTGCTTTTTTTTCCCCTTGTGCTGACATTTGCACTAACGGGGCAAAAGCAATCGTGAGTATAACTGCGGCCACCTGAACACAAATGTAGACAATGGCACTTGTTCTGGTAGTCACTGTGATCTCCACAGCTATCAACTCACAGTAAAATAATGGCAAGATTAATAATAAAATAATAATAGTAATAAATAAAAATTAAAAGTTTGTTTCACCTAAGAATGTCCTTATTTTTATATGTAAATCCATGCATCATTATATTCTAAAATAAATAGAAGAAAAGCAATTTAAATAAAGCTAACTTCTATTTAAATTGTAAAAGGAAGGACTGAAGAGAGGCATCGAGTTTTTACTTAGGTTCTAGAAAGTATACATCATTCAGACCACTAACTAGATGGTGAACACAGGAAAATACAAATATGAAATTACAGGGAATTGAGTGACCTTTTGTTAAGTTGAGAAAACTGAAACCGAAATTTGAAAGAGGAAAATTCATCTGAGACAAGAAAAAAAAAAAAAGAAATTTGATTCCCTCCTTCCTTGTGGCCTTGTACTTCATGACATAAACCATGACTTTGCCTATTACATGATGAAATGATTTAGAAGCAATCTGGGCATGGGTGGGAGAGATGAGAGGTTGTCAAAAATATTGCAGTTAACCCCCAAACTAATCCGTTCAGAAAGTAATCATGAAGGCCTAAAGAAAAACCAAGGCACTAGGCTGAAAGTGATAATTGAACAGTGCAGTTAGTGGCACAAAAAAATGTCAACCACTTGAAAACAATCCCTAAGAGTGAAATAAAGCTATCCAGGGCAAACAAAGTGCAGTGCTCTGAGACAAAACTCTAGGGAGGTTCAGTGTCACGTCATCTGCACCCAACATGTTTTCTCCAATATCCTTTAAATCATGTACACTCCTGCACATGGAAGAAATCCTCCTACCAGTTTTCTAAAATGTTATGGTGGTGATGGCCTGGACAAAAAACATAAGGGGGTGGGTAGCAGTGAAGATTAGTTGGGTCATCAGCAAAGTCCATGGGAATGCAAACCACAGACAGGAGTAAACTATATAAGCAAAGAGCCTTACCTGAACAGAGGTTGAATTTTGGTTCCTTGCTAACATCGACTTCATTGTAGGACCCTTGTGTAGGCCTGCTGCGGGGAGGTGCATTCAGTGAGACAGTCCTGATAGCATCTCTCTGAACATGGATATAGGACGCATTCTCGGGATTTCTGTTCTTATTATTGCGATGGTAACTCATTTTATTTTTGGGATTTGGGGCCTGTACTGCTGTAAAAGAAAGGGGGCGGGGAGTGAGGGATAAAACAAGCTGGTTTCACACCTGGAAATACAATATTACACTTTAAATGTTTGATAGGACAATGGAAGACAATGTAAGCTAAAAGAACTAAATTTATAGGAGTTGGGTTGACATCTAAAACAACAGGCTGCACAACAGTGACTTGTTTTTCAGGTAGAAAAGATTATTTAATCTTTTTTCAAATTACAATTTAGGGATATCAGATGCATAAGCACTTTACCTCTCCGCATTCCTGGGCCAGGAAAGTTCTTTGGTTCATCATAAATCCACTTTCTTTTTTTCACACCTTTAAAATGAGGCTTCCTCACTGGCTGGACATTATTCACTTAAATAAGATACAAATTTTTACAGTTTTTTTTAAGAGATTCTTTCATCTGAAAATTACTTGTAAGTGATAATTACATATCTGTGCATTCACATGTCAAGCAAGAGAAAAAATTACTGTACCACCGTAATACTTTACTTTCTAGAACAAAGGATGATTTATTTTTAAGTGCCAAAAAGAAATCTAACTTGGAAATTGATTGATGAGAAAACTTTCTATAAGTAACATTCCTTGGGAGAAAAATGCTTTCATAAGATTCAATCCAAATATAATATGTATCTCATTATAATGTTATTTTTAAGTAGTTTTAGAATTGTTATTTTGAACATAAATCCATCTGTACTTTTTAAGCCAAAACTACTACTTCTTAAGAAGCTAGATTAATATAAGATATTGTTAGTGAATATTACCTTCTTCTTGTAAGATCTTAAGAAGTTGGGTATATAAATATAGTTTAGTGAAATAAAACTGAATAATCAGACTTTGTAAATGATAAGATCACTAAATTATTCACTTCTTGCTCACATATTTTTACATGGAAAATTTTATATGCATGCTCAATTTTCCAGAAATTTTTAAGGTAAATTTTTCCAGAGAATCTTAAAACAATTTAGTAGGGTGGGGCATTCTTTATTATTTCTCTGTGTGGAGATCCTGAACATTCACGAATAACTACTGCACAAAGCTGTCTATAGTGGACTGATAAATCTCTCTTTGCACTAGCTCTCATCTTTAGCTTAAGCACCAAGCCTTCACTGAAGCTCTGATTCTAATACCTCTTCTTCAGACAATATGCCCCATCCTTACTCTCATGCTCCCACTCCCAGAATTTGGAATCCATATTTTTCACTTAACTAAGCTTCTTGGAGATAAACCAGCATGGTTCCCCTAGATGCCTAGTTGGGATCAAAAAATATTACAGGGGTTCATTAAGTGAAATAAAGAAAAGGAAGGAAAGAGGGAAACAGGAAGATTCATGAGTCTTAATTGTATCAAGAGAAGAAGCTCACAGTACTAAACAGCAAGGAGAAGCCAAATTAAGAAAAATAATTTAAAAAATAATAATAATAATAATAATAATAATAATAATAAACCTGTCAGTGTATCCCCACTACAGGTTAAATTTAAAATGCTATACTAATGAATCTTCTGAGAAGGTAGCATATTATTACTTTTAATATCTAAATTAAACTAGTGGGAAAGTATATTATGATTTACTAGGACCTACATCACAATTCATTGTGAGAGTTAGTAGAAGAATAGTCGTTAATCCTTAACCCTGAATAATTTTCAAACCATTCTTTTTCCTTTCTTTTTTCAAAATTCTATTTCAAATAGGCAAATAAATCCATGGTAAGACAAATACATCTAAGGCCAAAAAGTGATAGAGCTAATGTCTCACTTGAAAAGGGGTCCTCTCTGCACTTCATACTGATATTCTCAGTGGCATTTAATACATGCGTTGTAGGTACTAGTCGGGTAGTTAGGGAACGCTTTGGATGAGGACTGTCCTTGTTATCTTTTAAAGCAAATTAAGAAAATAAAATGTCAATATTAGTAAAAAAAAAGTGTTTCAGTTGGTATTTCACTTTTCAAACATCATATGATGGGTATACCTCTTTAAAATATATATGGATACTAATTTTTAGAATCTATCACTGAAATTCCCTAATTTCCACATTGAGTCCCCCAAAGATGTCACTGACAAAATATTAAAAATCCAGAAATACAGTCATTATCTTCAGTATGTAAATTATGTATTTGTGGAAATATTTTTAATACCTCCAGACAAAAAATAAAAAGTTATCAATTTTACATCAAATGTGCCAGTTTTAGTCAAGAATGCAGAAATATTTATAACAACCTTCACTAGTTCTAAGCTTTGGAGCAGAACCACCTAATAGAGTTTTCTACAGTGATGGAAACATTCTATATCTGTGCTTTCTGAAATGATAGCTACTAATCACGTGTGGATACTGAGCATTTGCAATATAACTAGTGCAACTGAAGAGCTGAATTTTAAAATTTTATTTAATTTTAATTAACTTAAACAGCTACATAGGGTGGTGGCTACCATTTATAGTGTAGTTAGGTTTTTTTTTTTTGATAGATTGAG